AAGGAGCTGCCACCTGCCCACTTCCAAACTGGTCCCTGAAAAATTGAGCAAAACTTTGAACACATCCCAGAGCCCTTGGCCAAGTCCCGTCTTACAGACCAGGACTTGGTGGCACCAAGGTTTGCCCAGAAGAGGATAAAACGGTGGCCCAGGCCGCTACGGGGGCCACGGGGTTGGGGTGGGGGTGTGACAGGGACCCCTGGAGGCGAGTGAGGAAGCCGGGCCGTCCCGCCACCGTCTCCCCAGCACCAAAGCTCGCAGGTTCAGCCGCCAGCACAACCGCATCGTGAAGCAGGACGGCTCCAGCAGCGAGGACGAGGACTGGGAGACGCCCAAGCCCTTCTACCAGCTGCTGGCTGAGAAGGCCTTGCCGCTGCCCCCGCACCTCCAGTGAGAGGGCAGCCCCCTCGCCTGCTCCCCTCACCCCTTACCCCTCAAGGCAACCGTGGCTCTTGCTGGAAGCCAGGACCCATCAATGAACTTGTCCCTCCTGGGCCTCCAGCTTCTGAGAATGCAGGTCCCCTTAGCCAGGTCCCATGGGGCCAGGGAGGGGAGCACTGATTGGCCCCCACCGCTGGGCACATTTGCCTGGAGCACCAGAGTCGCCCACAGCTGCCCTGATTCTCCCCCGGGCTTATTAGGAAGAGAACCCAAAATGAAATTCGGGGTGTTGGAGGGTAAAGTTTACCAGCCCCCTGCTTTTTCCTTCCCCACCCCACAGCCACACGGTTGCAGCCCTGTTCAAGCTCACCTCACCCTACTCCTCCCTCTCCTGTTTTATTTTTAGGCTATTTATTGTTTTAAAGAAAATAAAGTGGGACCTTTGTTACCAGCAAGAGACAAGGGCAGGCCCTCCCAAGTCCCCCTGCTGCCCTCATCTGGAGGCCTGCGGCTGGCAAGAGGCCTCACTGCCCGCCCTCCGCAGCCTCCCTGTGCATCTGAACGCAAAGCCCTGTCCCCCGGGAGGCAGCAGTGGGAAAGTTGGGTCTCCACTAGGGCTGTGTTCAGTGCTGCTTTGGGCAGGCCCTGGAAGGCACCCCATAGCCCTGGTGGTGGTGTAGTCCACTAATTTTATTTTAATTGAAAATGGAGGCATAACATGTCCTAGAAAAATAAAGATTTAGGATACAAAGGGGACACAGCGGGCAGGGCTGCCCCTGGGGATGAGGGAATCTTTGGTCTGGGCCAGATGTGACGACAAGGGCTTGAGTCCAGGGGGGCTGGTCGGGGAAGATCCCCGGCGCCCACAGCTGCCCCCGCCCTGGCAGGAAATGCCATGCTTGGGAGGGTCTCCAGTCTCTGGGGCGGGGGCTGCCTGTCCTCTACCTTCGGATTCCAGGCAGTTGTGACAACACCAGCTATCTATCAGCAGAGCTATTAATAGCGTTTCAGGGAGTGACAGGGAGAAGGCTCTGAAGGCTGGAGGTCTGGCCCTGGGGCAGGGTGTTCTGCTCACAGATAGTACCAGGTGGAAGGGGCAGGGCCCCTGAGTCAAGACCCCCAAGTCCTCCGTGTATATGGCAGGGCACAGCGTGGGGAGGGCTGTAACAGAGAGGCCTCCCATCCAGAGGGGAAGGAGCCCTGGGCAGGAGGTGGCCTGGGACGCATCTCCCAGCATCACCAGGGCTGGGAGAGGCCACCCAGGTAGGATGTGGTGGCTGGGGTCTTCAGCAATCGCGTTTCTGGGGCTCCCTCCTCCAGCTCCTGTCCCTAAATCTTCAGCACCATTGTTGTGCGAGGCCACGGGGCCACGCTGGGTCACAGTTCCAAGGGCTCCTCCACAGGTACTGACTGGAGCTGCGTCAGGACCTTGGCCTCAGCTTCCAGCCCCTCATCAACCTCGCCCCCTGCGGTGGCCCCCAGGAGCAGCCCCTCAGGGTCAGGGTCTGGCAGCCTCAGCACGGTGTGGGGGGCCTGTGTCCCCAGCCCCTTTTCTGTTTCCAGCAGCCCCTCTGTTCCTGCACTTAGTTCCAGCGCTGCTGGCCAGACCGGCACAGCCGCAGGTGACAGCATCAGCCCCTCTGGTGGGGCCGCTGGGAAGCTGGGCAGGAGGCTGGGGGAGTCAGGGGAGAAGGGCAGGCTGGCGCCAGAGGTGGTGGCGGTGGGAGGTGGCTGCTGCGTGGAGAGGGTGCCTAGGGCATGGGCCTCTGAGAGAGCAGGGCTGGGGGCCACCGGGAGGCCTCCCTCAGGGACAGAGATGGCTGTCTCTGGCTTCAGGGGCAGGGCCAGGCCGGGGCCTGGCGGCAGGACCTGGGAGACGAGCATGCTGGTGGGGAAGGTGGCGGTGAGGATGATCTTGCCCTGCTGCACGGCCACACCCGTCACGATGGGGCTCCCAGACACAGGATTGGCCAGGAGGAAGTTTCCTGTGGGGAGAGGGGCCCAGCGTAGGTGAGAGCCCCGGGAGAGCCGGCCAAGCCAGGTGGAGGTGGAGACTGCAGCAGGAGGGCGGGCAGAGGGAGCCTTCCGGTGGGGCACTGGGACTTGCCAGGGATAAGATGCCCCCCAGGAGCCCATGGACAGCCCCTCCCTCTCTGATGACTGCACCCCCCTCCCCTGGCTCTTACCCAGGCCTGAGGGAAGAAAATGGGGGTACCTGGAGCAGTGGCCGAAGGCAGCTGCAGGGCAGTCACGCCCACCCCGGAGTTGATCAGGTGCACGTTGGCAGGGCCTGCTGCGGCTGCCACCTTCACAGGGCTGCCTGGCCCGGCTGCCAACAGCTGCAATGGCCCCACAGCTTGGGGCAGGGTCACCACCTGCGAGGTGGGCACCACCTGGGGCAGGTTCAACAGTGGGGAAGTGGGGCTCAGGCCTGTAGGGTACCCCGAGGGTGGGGAGAGCGGCACCACTTGTGGGGCAGCCACAGCAGGCACTGGCCCTGGGGGCAGAGGAAAGGTGGCAGCTGGCAGGGGGCCAGGCACCACTTGGGGCAGGGGCCCGGGGACCTCCTCTCCCGGGGCTGGTCCTGAAGCAGCCACCTGGGCCCCTTTGGTCTCAGGGGCCTCTGGCTGAGCCTCCTCCAGCCGCACCTCCCCCGTCTGAGGGTCCAGGACCAGGGAGGTCTTGGCCTCGCTGGCCCCCTGAGGGCTAGGCTGCGGTGGAGGGGCACCCCCGCCCCCGGTGAGCAGCAGTGGGCCCAGGCTGGAGGCCTCGCCCAGGGCCAGACCATTGATGATGACAGGACCCCCGTTGAGGAGTACTGCTGGGGAGCTACTGGCAGCCAGGAAGCTCCCATTCACCAGGATGGAGGAGGAGGCAGGGCACGGTGCAGGAGGGCTGGCCCCCGCCAGGAATATGGAGCTCTGGGCTGCGGCCTCGGCAGACACTGGGGCTGCCCCTCTCTCCAGGTCCTCAGGACTTCGGCTGGACTCATCCTCAGTCGTGGGATTCCCATCAGATTCACTGGCCAAAAAAATGGCTGTTAGCTGGGGTCCCTTAGCGTGTGGGGCCTCCGGCAGAGCCAGCTGGCTGCTCTCCCACTTTTCCCAGGCCCAAGCTTCAGTGGATCATTCCAGGAGTTATGAAGCCCCTCTGAGACTACCCAAAACCCGAGGGCCTTTTGCAAGCCAGGCGTGGACACCACTGCAGAGAAGCGCTGGGGAGGGAAGAGGCCCTTGCTCTCCCCATGCCTCGGCCTTGGGTCCCCAGGCTGAGCTCCCAGGTTGCCCTAAAAGTTCCTTGGTTGGGTGGAAAGCAGGCGAGTGGCCTGGAGAGAGGGAGCAGGCGCCGCCAGCCCAGTTCTCGGTGCCCTCCCCGCGGGGCGTCAGAGAAGGGAGAGGCCAGCGCTCAGGGTGGGAGGGGAAGGGCTTGGGTTACAGGGAAACCAGAGCTGAGGAAGGTTCACGTTTCACAACAAAGGCAGACTACGGACCACGCTGTCCAGGCCCGGAGGGGGTGTGGGGGCGGGTGGGGAAGAGTAACGGCAGGGAAGAAAGGGGGCTGGAAAGCAGCCCCTACGCGGGGTGGGGTGGGCACAGGCCCCTGCCCTCTTTCCGAAGCCCCTCTAGTGTACCCCGCAGTATGGTCCCCAACACCGATGGGATTTGGGCAGGAGCTCAGAATGGAGCCGCGGTTAGACGAGACGCGTGCTGGGCAGGGATGCTGCGGAGTAGGCCCAGGCGAGTGCCTGTGCCGTCCACGCTTAGTCCCCGCGCCCCGCGGGCGCCCGGGGCTTGAGCGGGAGGAGTCCGAGGACCTCGGCGAGCTGGCCCCAGCAGTGGGCACGGGGAAGGAGGACTGGTGGGCGGGATGTCCCCGGGAAAGCGGGACTTGCGCCTCCCAAGGACCCTCACCTCTTGCAGGGCGCGCCGCCGCTGGCCCCGGTCCGATCGCGCTGTCGCCGGTTCTTGAACCAGTTGCTGACCTGCGTGAGCGAGAGGCCGGTGAGCGTGGCCAGGCGGCGCTTCTCGTCCGGCGTCGGGTAGCGGTTGCCGCGGTAGCAGGCCTTGAGCGCGGCACGGGAGCGCTCCTTGAAGCAGTAGACTGTCTCCTCGCCGTCCCAGATGGTCTTAGGCAGCGGGAACTTCTTGCGCAGTCGATACTTGTCCACTGCGCCCAGCGCGCGGCCGCGGGCCCGCTCGGCCTCGTGGTAGCGCGCGCGCAGGTAGAGGTCCTGCAGGAAGGCGTGGTGGGCGGCGGGGAAGGGGCGGCTCTCGAGTAGCCGGTAGAGCTCAGCGTACTCGCCCCGCTGGAAGGCCACCAGGGCCCGCGCGCGCAGCACCGGGTCGCTGCCACGTAGGCGCTCGGCCGGGGGCAGTGCGCCCAGGAAGCGGCTCAAGCGGCCGGCGTGGCCCGCCTGGAGCAGCGCCTCGCAGACGCACGCCACCTGCTCGGGTGAGAAGCGGAGGCCCGTGGGCGGTTCGGCAGCGGCCTCGGGGGGCGAACCGGGGACGCCCGGGGATCCCGGGCCCTCCGCTCCCGCCTCCGCTTCACCCGCCCCGGCCCCGGCCGCTGCCGCCGCCTCACCCTCGGCCGCCTGCAAAGTTTGCAGGAGCTGGCGCGCTTCCTCCTCCTCCTCTTCGGTCGCCGTGGCCGCCACTGCCTCCCCCCCGGCCGCCGGCCCCACGCTCGGCTCCGCAGGCAAGGTAGCCATGTTTTGCAACTTTGGGAAGTTCCTCCCTCCTTCTCTTCCTCCCTTGGGCTTTCCCCAGCCCCCTCCCCCACCTGTCCCCCCTTTTCGCCCCACTCCCCACGCTTCTCGATCTCCCCAGGCCAACCCTGTGCCCCACACCGGGAAGGCGAGACCCAGCTCTCCACCCAGTCTCTGTCCCTGTGTGTGTATTCGTCCCTCTCCCTGTCTGTCCGTGATTCTCCCTTTGTTTTCCCTCCGCCTCTGGCCGCGCTTTCTGCCTCCCCCCGCGTGTGCTTCTGGCTCAGGGCCTCAGTTTCCACATCGGGACAACGCAGAAGGTAACGGGCCGTCCAGGAGGGATAAGGGCGCGAAGCCTCCGCTCCGAGACTGCGCTTCTGCACGCCTCTGTCTCCAGGGTCCCCTGCAGGCCCCCACATTCCCCATCTCGGCCTGCGCTCCGCCCCTCGGAATTCCCGGCTCCGCAGGGGGGGCGGGTCTGGCCGGGAGGAGGGGCGGGGAACAAGCCAGAAAGTTTGCAGCAACTTTTCTCGAGCTTGCGTCCCCAGAGCGGATGCGCGTGGCGTACGCAGGCGCAGTGGAAGGAGGATGGCCGCGCGCGCGCGCTACCAGCCCAGCCCCCTTCTTCTCGACGCCTGGTGCCACAGCTGGGCCACAGCTGGGCGTGGGCGGTGCCTCCGGGTGGCCCGCTCTCCCTCTTATTGGCTGGACGCCAAAGCCCCGCCCCGTGGCTTTTCCTCCCCTGCGGTCTGATTCGTCCACTTCGCGTCCCGCTAGCTCCTCTCAAACCTTCGGCGGCGTCCACTCGCCTTCGGATTGGCCCGCTGCGCAGCCTCCTGCCTACAACGCAAACCGTGAACACTGCGGAGTCCAGGGCTTTGGGCAGATAGAGGACCTTTTATTCGCGAGGGTCGGGAGTGGGGTCCTAGGTGGGGAGAGACAATAAATACCGAGGAATGTCGGGGTCTCTGTGCATCCAAAACGTGGATCGGGGTGTTGGGGGTCCTGCAGCCTGTCAGCGAGTCGGAGGACGAGGGCAATAAATATCCAAACCGCCAAGGCAGGTGGAGCCGGTTGGGGCTCCGAGACAAGCGCACGTGAGGAAGGGGGCGCGGGATCCCCCGAAAAAGCGGGGTTGGCAAAAGCAAATATCCCGAGTAAGCGGGCAGAGGTCGCACCGGACGCTCCCTGGAGAGCAGGGCATCATGCCCAAGGGGGATTTGCGGTTTGCTAACCGACGTTGGTGGGGGTGCGTGGAGGGTGGAACACAGACAGCCCGGCTTGCAGTCTTTTCAGGCTCGCAGTTGCCCATCCACGTTGGGGCCTCAGCCTAGCCGAAAAAACGAAGCGGTCTGCGATTCCCCCAGCAGCAGTAGCAGCAGCATTCCCGGCTACAAGGGCCCCTCGAGCCCTGTTCGCCCGCCACGGAACCGGCTCCTCCCTCCCCGGCCACCAGGGGGCGGGCCCGGATCACAGGACTGGAACTGGGCGGAGACCCACGCTCAGAGCGGTGTGAACTGGCAGGCGGTGGGCGCGGCTTCTGTGCCGTGCCCGGGGCGCTCAGTCTTGCAACGAGGCCCCCGAGTCGAAGAGAGTTCTAGGGTTCAGGGGGTGAAGGCGGCTCCAGGGCGGCAACAGATTGGGGTGAGTTGGCCGGCGTGGGCCACCAACCCAGCGCAGCCCAGGGCGGCGGCACGAGCCAGAGCAGCGGCGAACAGGAGCAGGGAAAGCGCCTCCGATAGGCCAGGCCTAGGGACCTGCGGGGGAGAGGGCGAGGTCGGCACCCGGCACGTCCCTCTGATTGGCTCCTGGAACTCGCCCCGCCTACGCCCATAGGTGGGCCCGAACTCCTCCCTGCGCCTCGCCCTCCCCACAACAGCCTGCAGTTGCTGTTAGTCCACTCGCAAGCCTCGAATCCCGTCCGAACTCGTCATTGGCTGCTTCCTAGCGGCCTGTGTTGATTCGCTGCCCGAGGATCCTCCCTCCCACGGTGGGACCAGCCCCGCAAATGCGCAGCTAAGCGGGTGGCACTGGGCTGGTGGAGCTAGGGGCGCGGCGGCGGAGGGGGGCGTGGGCAGCCGGACGTACCCTGGCAGGGAGCAGCAGGTGGCGGCGGTGCATGGGGCCTGGCCCCACCAGCGGGCACTGGCCCAGAGCCACGGCCGGGGGGCCATCTAGCTGGAGAGAGAAGGGACAGGTGACCCGATCGGAGCCCAGCCCAGCCCTCGGCGGTGGGGCGAGAGACAGCGAGGGGAGTCTTGGCCGGGGAGGTTATCTAGGGAGATCCCAAGGGGATCTGGTGAGACCTGAACCGAGGGAGATCTGGGACTGAATGAAGGGCTTCTGCCCTCTGAAGTCTCAAAGAGGTAGGGTGAGCCCTAGATCTGGACGGGGAGACCAGGAGCCAGGGAGGGAGTCTGCAGAGTGGGGCAGCAGGTCTGAGGTAGGGAAAAGAGAGGGGTCTTACATGGGAAGGTGGATCCGTGGCCCGGGGACTGGGGACCCCCGTGACAGCTGGAAGGAGAAGAAAGAGGCATAGGGCGCGTGGAGGGGCGAAAGAGGGCGGTGGCGCGGCGTGCCCCAGCATGAGTCCCTCTCCTCCCCCAGGTGTCCATACACGTCCCAAGAAGCAGACGGCCCACCTCCTCCCCGCCCTCGGGAAGGGGATGCTTGAGGGACTTGCCTGTGGCTCCCTCTGCCTGCAGCAACTCGATGCGCTCTTGCAGCTGCCGGACGTGCGCCTCCAGGTCCCGGTTCCGAGCCTCGGCCGTGCGTAGTTGACTGTGGGGAAGTAAGGATGGTGAGTCCGTCTGGGCTGGACGAGAGGGGCTGCCAAGGGTTGCCACAGGTCCCAAGCCCCGACCCCGACCCCGACCTGGCGAAGTTCTGGTTGGCCGTGCGGATGGCCTCCATCTCCCGGCTCAGGCTCTGCCGGGTGAGCACCTCCTCCTCCAGGGCCTCCTGGAGCTCCCGCAGCGTCACCTCGGCCTCAGCCTCCACCACAGGGATAGCAGCTGGAACTGCCACTTCGGCCTGTGTATGGGAACCAGGCTTAAGGCTGCCTGTGGCTCCTGGAAGACTCAGGACTTGGGCACTGGTTGCAGGCCTGGGATTCTCGCTTGTCCCCTACTCCTCCACCCCCTCGGGATTTCTGGAATCGCCTTCGCTCCTGCAATGCTCCAAGCCCCCTCCTTTCCCTACTCCCCTCAGCCCCATCTCTGAGTCTGGTCCCCTCAATCCACGCAGCGACTAGAGGGCTAGTCCTAAAACACTAGCACAACTTGACCCTGACCCTCTGCTTCTCAAAATCCCTCCAGCTCTCTAATGCCCTCAGGACAAAAGGTCTTGCCGGGTTGTTTTCTGCTGGCCTCGTCAGCCATCTCAGGAACGATTCAGCCAAACTATCTGACTTTCAAGAACAAACCAGGATTCCCACCTGCCCAAGGCCTTTGCCCTTAAGGTCTCGCCTGACCACCTGGTACTTTTCTTTTTTTTTTTTTTTTTTTGAGACGGAGTTTCGCTCTTGTTACCCAGGCTGGAGTGCAATGGCGCGATCTCGGCTCACCGCAACCTCCGCCTCCTGGGTTCAGGCAATTCTCCTGCCTCAGCCTCCTGAGCAGCTGGGATTACAGGCACGCGCCACCATGCCCAGCTAATGTTTTGTAGCTTTAGTAGAGACGGGGTTTCACCGTGTTGACCAGGATGGTCTCGATCTCTTGACCTTGTGATCCACCCGCCTCGGCCTCCCAAAGTGCTGGGATTACAGGCTTGAGCCACCGCGCCCGGCCACCTGGTACTTTTCTTTTCTTCACCAGCGCTCAGTTCAAAGATAAGCTTCTCAGATCCGCCGCAACACACACCCTTAAACGCCCTGCTGTAACTCCTTCACAGGGACCTGAAGTAGTAGCCTCGTCTCTCTGTGGTTTCTGTCTTCTCCTGTTCAGTAAGCTCCCAGAGGGCCCCACAGTGCACCCCACCCAGGAAGCCCTCGCCTTTTCCCTCCTGTTTGTCCCTGATGGATTCTCCCCTCTACCAACTTACTGTTTCATCTGGTGGGGACACCGAGGGCTCCAGGCTGGGCGCTTGTATGTGTGGCTCAAGCAGCTGCTCGGCCTCCAGTTCCATGGGTGTGGGGCCTGGGACCTCATTGTCCCTGGGGAGAGGAGGAGGGAGTAGGGAGGAAGACAGAATGCTGATTCTTGAATGGAGAACCAGGAACTCCTGGCCTGTGGGTAAGGGGCAGCGGCTTCAAAGACCCCCTGATCTGAGGAAGAGGAGTGGCAGAGTGAAGAGTCCCAGGTGGGCTGACAGCCCTTCCCCTGCTTGCAAAAAGCCCTGCCCCTCCCCTGGCGTTCGCCCCTGGGAGCTGCTCTTTCTAAACCTGCAGGGACTCAGGGTCCAGACCCCCATGTTCTAGGGTCAGTTGGTCTCCTCCTTTGACATGTGACCTCTGCAGACCTGAAGAGGGAGACTGCTTGGCTCTGGCCACCTCCATGTGGTCCTAAGGCTGGGAATGGGACTCCAAGATGGCGACTCCAGGTCAGCACATCCCACTCAGCTGTGGGAAGGGGACAGCCCCTCCCTGGGGTAAGAAGTGGCTGTCCCCTACAACCCAGCACTCTCTCCTGTGGGAACATGGCTCAGGACCTAGCTATCCTGGACATGCACCTGGGTCTAACAGAGGATGGGTTCAATCCTGACCCACCTGTTCAGGCCCCACAGCGGTTCAGAATCGAGTTGGAGTTCATTAACGATAAGAAATGGCATTTGTAATGTTTTCCAGTAATAAAAGCTGATTAGAAAACCACCTGTTTTCTTAGACAAGGTAGCACGGAGAGGAAAAAAACCCCACCTGTTCTACAGTAGTTAAACGTGTCTGTGCACCTGTGAGCCAGGGACCACTGCGTCTGGTGAGCTCACAAGATACTGACTTCCTTGTCCTTATCTGTATTTTCTGATTGTGATCAGCAGTACATGATATGTATGGCCTCACACTAGCCCCAGCTGGAATCTATCATGGCTCACTGAAGCCCTAAACTCCAGGCTCAGGTGATCCTACTTCAGCCTCTTGAGTAGCTAGGACTGCAGGGACAGACCACCATGCCTGGCTGAATTTTTTCAATTTTCTGTAGCGATGGGGTCTCACTGTGTTGCCCAGGCTGGTCCTGAAGTCCTGGGCTCAAGTGATCAATCTGCATCAGCCTCCCAAAGTGCTGGGATTTCAAGCTTGAGCCACCGTGCGCAGCCTGTAAATTTATATGTGTATGTGTTTGAGTCGAAGTTTCACTCTTGTTCCCCAGGCTGGAGTGCAATGACGTGATCTCGGCTCGCCGAAACCTCCGCCTAAATTTGTGTGTGTGTGTGTGTGTGTGTGTGTTTGAGTCGAAGTTTCACTCTTGTTCCCCAGGCTGGAGTGCAATGACGCGATCTCGGCTCACCGAAACCTCCGCCTCCCGGGTTCAAGTGATTCTCCTGCCTCAGCCTCCCAAGTAGCTGGGATTACAAGCATGCGCCACCATGCCCAGCTAATTTTGTATTTTTAGTAGAGATGGGGTTTCTCCATGTTGGTCAGGCTGGTCTCAAACTCCCAACCTCAGGCCATCTGCCCACCTCGGCCTCCCAAAGTGCTGGGATTATAGGCGTGAGCCACCGTGCCTGGCCAGCTCTGAGGTTTTAGAAATGAATCTAACATTCTGAAGTACATATATCTGCGTTTTTAAGGTCCTCCAACTCTGGCTTCTTAGGAGTCCATGTTCCCAAAACAATAAGGTTCCAAGACTGATCCTGCAACTGCTGGCCGCCGAGGAGCAGGCCCCAGGAAGCCCAGGCAGCCTCGGGGCCTCTGGAGACCACCCAGGGCGGTGCTTACCTGAGGGCCATGCAGGAGTAGGAGTAGCCCACAAAAGGCAGGTGGACCCCCAGCGGCGCACCTTCCCGAATGTCCGACAGTGTCTCCTGCGGAAGA